TTTCTGTTTATACATTTTTTTACGCAATAGAACATGACAAGGCCCCATAAAAAAAATATGGGCGTGTAGGGTTTTTTGAGCCCTACACGCCCATTTTTTTTTTTTTTTTTTTCTGACGTCAAAAGTCGGAAAAAAAAATGTTGTACCGAACTCGGCTGGTCGGCCGTGGCCGAACCGGGCCGATTTGGCCGTCGGCCGATTTAGCCCCCCCGACCGCGGTCGGGCGTGCAACATAGTTCTGGAGGTCTTCCTGTGCTGCCAATTGTCCCCTTTGCTCTTCAGCGGCCCTCAACTCCTTCTTCATCGTCTCGACCGCCACCAATCGCCTCCTCTTTTCCCTAGTAAGGCGCAACTTCCATTCTAACTTTTTCTCCTCCTCCTGCGAGGGGTTTTCCTCTGCTACCAACTTCCTTGCAAACACCTCCCTCTCGGCCTGAGGGACAAGCAAGGATGCTTCCTCTTCCTCCCCCAAGGCCAAATTGGCCACCCACTCTGTCACCATGTTCTCCGTTTTCGCCCTTACCTTTGACGCCATATTGGTTCTTACAGTACTTTGCAGGGGAACCTCTACTTCCTTTTCTTTTTCTGCCTTCTCGGGTTCGACTTCTGCTTCCTCGTCTATCGTCGTTACTTTCTTCTCCTGCGTCTTTTCCCGTTTCTTCATCTCCTCCTCCATCTGTCTTTGCTTGGTCTTTTGCTCTTTTATTAAGGCCAGCATCCAAGTCTTCACCTACTTTATTAACTCCTTCTCAAGTTTCTTTTTTCTCTCTTTCAGTAGGGTGGCGGCTTGCTCTTTTTGCTCTCTACTATATGGGTTGGTACTCGTTCCTCCTCGTGGGGTCACCATGGTGAAAGACACACAAGCTGTGAGAGTTCCACTCCTTGCCACTTAGACTTTCCACCCACTGACCGACTGACTAACTCTCTAACGACCACATAATCCTCTCAGATCCTGTCAACTAGGGTCTCTAACCTGGACCTACTTCTAGGCTGTCACTAAAGAACTTTGTTGCTGATCAGGAGGCATTTAAGGAGATCCCCTATAACTCCTCAGGAATTCTTTAACGTCGCAATTAGGACGACATGATCAGCAAAGTTCTCTCAAGACTTGGACAGTTGGTTGTACAACCCACAACTTGGATTTTGGGCTTACCATGTCGCCACACTGAGCAGCCCGCCGGTCTGTAGCGGTCCTTGGGAGGGTTAAGCCTCCGGGACGTGTCAGTCATCAGACATGGACGTAAGCCCTACTCAACCCGTGTAGGTTTGGTCAACACAGCCCTATGACCACATGCACGAAGTCCTATCACCTGGACAGAAGTGACTCAATGCAAAAAAAAGAGACAAATTCCGCAAGTACCAAGGGGTGAGTGCACATCCATAGGGCGAGGGGGTAGGCTGAAGGCTTGGCGAGATTATACCGATTCCAGCTTGGTCAAAATCGTAGTCAACCGCCTCCGGTCAATACTGGTCAATGGTCAGTCAACTTGGTCAAACCTCCCAGTCAACCTTCCTGATCAAAGCTCTGACCTTCGGCTATGGTTGCCAATCCTTCTCCTTCGCCAACCTCTCTCTCTCTCTCCTGCCCCATTCTCCCTTCTTCTTCGCCCACCTTGTCTATGGCTTCCTTTCTCTCCCTCGTCTCTCCTTCCTCCTTCCTCTTTCTCCTCCTCAACTTCTTCTTCGTTGTCCAGTCCGAGCTCGGCGGTTATGGTCGCCACCTTCTTCCTCGAGGATTCCAAACCAATCTTCTCTCTCTCTCTCTCTCTCTCTCTCTCTCTCTCTCTCTCTCTCTCTCTCTCTCTCTCTCTCTCTCTCGTCGTCGTTCTTTCCCCCTGATGCACACAGTGATCTTCTTCTTCGTCGCCCTTAACTCTTCCCTCTCGGGTCGACGGTCTTCAGCAGCGGCCCTGATAGTGGCAGTACCAACAAGCGCGCATTCGGGTGGCTGGCGTTGGCTGGAGATCGATGAGCGGGCGGCTGCAACTGCGAGTAGCCAGCAGTAATGTACGCGTGCAATCATGACGAGGCGTGCGAGCGGGCAGCGCACACAGTAACAGGCAGCGGTGCGGAAAGGTGAACACGGGAAACGGAACCGCGTGATCGATCGTCACGGCAGCGCGCGATAGCGCAAGCGCGCGCAGATTGCAAGTGCGCATGCGATAGCGGGTAGCGGGGCGTGGCTTGCCAGCACGGGAACTGGCGCGTGATCGGCATAGGCAATAGCAGCGCGCTGGCAACGGGGCACAACAGCACGAGGGGTCTTCAGCGGATGCACGGGCAACACAACGCGCGCACGGGATTAACGAACAATGTGTGCAAAGCTTGGCGCGCGGCGGCAGCGGACGTGCGCGCGGGAAGCAACGGGTAGCAGCCTGCGATAGCGTGCAGTGCTTGCTGACGTGGCGCGTCAGCGGGCGCCTCCCCTTCTCTCCACGGGCAGGTGATGACGTGGTGCGGAGCAGCGCCTCTCCTCTGCTCCAACGCTCTAGCGCTGACGTGGCGCTCTGCTCTACTTTTTCGTCGCTGATGGCGACTACCGTCCTCGGCGGCGATGATGACGATGCCGAACAACGGGACAGCGGGAACCAGCTCTGATACGTATGCAATCAGACTTGTCTTTCCTGACACTCAGCATGCGTACAAACAGACAACAATCAAGTTGGCGACTTGCGTCTACACAAAGCTCACAGATAACGAAGCCAAGAACGAAGCTCAGATTCAAACATGTCTTGATCGGCTATGGCCGATCCTCCTTTGCTCTCGGCAACTTGTTCGTACACACATCCTGGATCTCCCTGGATGTTCGGGATACACCAACACAACACACTCATACACACACATACAAACACTAACAGCCTACTCTTGCTGACGTGGCGGCTATGGCCCCCATCTCTCTCCTCCTCTAACTAGCTATCGGCTATGCCCAATCTTCCTCCTCTTAGCCCTCTTCGTCAACGGGCACTGCAGACCTCCGCACACAAGACACTTGGACAGCGCCTCGGCACGGCTGACAGGCAGAATGAACGAATGGCTGATCGCTGCCTCTTTATTTATACTTTGGATTGTCGCTGGTCTGCCTCTCTCCACCGGGCCCCGCATGGTACTTGCTGGCTTGGCAAGGTGCGACTGGGAATGGGTGCCGCTGACTGAGCAAGGTAAGACTGCCCACTTGACCACTTGCCTACGGACTGCCTACTACGACTCACGAAGGGTCAGTTCTGGACCTTCCAGAAGACTGTGGACTTGACCCTTCAGTACTGTAGCAGCTACGACTCCTATCACTGGTAAGACCTCTAACCTACAGACCTATGGTTCAAGACCCAACGACCACCCTACCTACAGCAAACAAACAGGTGACTTTCAAGAGACAGGTCGCGGGTTTGAGCACACACGGGTCGACTGGTACTGTACACGGGTAAGGGCAAGGTCTGGGGATCGAGCTCTGAGAACTGGGACTGCTACCACAAAGGTGAAAACCGTTTCACTTCCAGGAACGTGAGAAGAAAAGATGGAAAAGAAGCCGTTTCCCTCTGTCCTCCACACGTTTGTTTCCCTTGATCCTCTAGGACTTGACAACCTACTACACCCTACTGAAGACAGCCTACTGCCTCGGACAAAATCTAGACAGAAAACAGGGAAAAAGGAAAAGCCTCCGTGCCTGGTGAAAAGGACAAAAGGGAAGGCCTAAGACAAGTGAACAGAGACTACTACAGCCAAGTCTTGGGGTCCAGCCCAACAAGGCTCAAAACAAACAAACACATCAAACACATTACAGGTCACGGGATCAAGCCCCGCAGTATTCAAGATTGGGACTCAGCAGACAAAGTCACTGTACAGCTCACAAGGAAACGGCAATTCATTGCAATTTTCTGGCTGCTTTCTGGTTACCTCCTTTTTGAGCTGCAGTCAGGGTTAAGCCTGGCTGGAGTGCCTGGCTCATCCCAACAACTGCAGCCGATGTGAGGAGGCTGGGCCCGGTTCCGAGCTTGTGATGAAAAAAAGAGGGGAAAAAAAACGAAAAGTCTAGGGCCAAGAATTATTTTTAATTTTTATTATTATTTTTGTACAGAAAGAAAATGCATTTATGACTCTGTTTCATTTCCTCACCCTTTCGAGGCAAATCAACACCCACAACGTAAATTGGAATTCTCACTTCGGCGAACTGCGGCTGTCGGGCATGCGTGGGGCACTCAACATACGCCTCATTGCATCCAATATTGCCCATATCATTCACCACTACAACCAATGTGTCATCCATTATGGAGATGCTACCCTGCAAGGCAATATGAGCATCCGCAACAGAAAGAGGAAATCCATAAAACTTGATCAAAGCATAAATAGTAGATACTAACTCACAGAGAATGGTGCCCTCAGCCCTGTTTTGATGTTACATCGCTGGGTGTGAATGATTGGTTGTCTGGTTGATTGATTAATATAGTGAGCACTTGATTGGGTAAGAATTGTCTGACCCACAAGATCTTCAACAGTCAGATTCTCCTTGTGTCTCTGCTTCGCTGGTATACCCTATTTGAAAAATGTTCGAGAATTCCTCATATTGATCAACACATCCGCATTTCAAACATATACCATGCTTTTAACTCTCACAGAGAACACACCTTTGCCATCACTGTCCCACTATACCGCATAGTATAACAATTACCCTTCTGCCTATCATAGCTCCCCTACGGCTCTGTTTGTTGGAAACATCCCAGAGCGCTTCCTTTATACTGATGAACTGTCATATGGCTCTGTTTGTTGGAACCATCCGTGGCCGCTTTAATTTTCTCCTCATTTCATACCCTTTTCTTTTTTTTGAGTTTAAACCACCAGTACTTGGCCCAGCTATCTGTCTTCTGGGAAAAAAAAATAGAGTAGAAACTACTAGAAACCTTTCTAGTCGGATGAAATTGGGCACTCCTGTAGTGGCCCATAGGGTTCCTAAAATTGTGGCTTGTTAACGGGCACGACTTTAGGAAGTACTGGTGGTTTAACATCTTCAGGGGGTGCCGCAGAGGGTGATATGAGCATCCCTTTGTGGTACCCTTCCGGTCCATGGCTCCATTCTATTGCTGGGGAGCTGCACCTGCTTGAAACCGGGTCCACACCCCTGCCAGAAACCAGCGTCCCATTCCTCATACCATCTAGCCAGAGGCGTAGGCACCGAGACCAGTAGGGGCACTGGGGGGCACCAGCAAAACCCTACGTCTCTTAGCCCCCCTCCATGTATTCTCCCAAATCATCCCTGCTGTGAGCCCGGTCTCTCCTTCTACGAACCAATCTACATCTGAACCTCCAAGCCCAGCTGGTCTGGTGGGAACGGATCTGGGAAATCTTCTGCCTGATCCTGAAAAACCGTTTGTTCTCAATCCAGTGGAAGGGACTGTGGCTGCCTTCCAACTGGTTCCCCATTTGAAGTTTGTACAGTTCTATTAACACATCTTCGGACCTAAGCACGTGGTTCACTCCTGCCTGTCCCTCTTCTCCTTAAATTGCAAACCAGTCTCCTCCGTCTAGCTTCGGCCCGTTCTTAAGAATTCTGTACCAGTCCACAGGGATTGAGAAAATCAGTTCCTCTAGGCGGAGCTGTATCGAAGTGGGCTAGGGAGATATCCCTGACGCCCGGGTCCCGATGTCACGCCCGGATTGGCGACCGGGTGACCGGCCGGGGATGGCCCCGGGCAGCCTCAGCGCAAAAATAAATAAATAAAAAGAAATCAAATCAAATCCAAAAAAAGCTGAAAAACAATTATGTTGTGTAGAATTGCAATACAAACAACTTTTGGCTGAGGGTCACGTCAGAATTCCTCACAGAACTAAAGATAAAAACAAAAATAACCATATCACACTAAGACACCCCCCTTTAAACCCCTTTAGCCCCTTTAAATTTCATATACACTCCCCTTTCCCCCCCTTGACAGCCAACACTCAAAAAAAGAAAAGAGCCCGGATTTGGGCTCCTCTCTGAGAGCGCGGAAAAACCCCACCGCCTTTTTTTTTTTTTTTTTTTTTTTGCCATGACCGGGTCACCCGGGCGTCAGACCCCGCTGGGCGTCACGCCCAGGTGACCGGCCGGTCCAGACCGGCCGATCATGAAAATCTTCCTAGCTGTTAAGCTATTTTTTTGTCTTTTCATCACGTGCAACAGTTTTCAAAAGCCCAATTATCCCCGAAAAAAAAAAGAAAGCTCGATTCTTTTTTCCTTTCATTGGCTTTGTTTTTCGTTCCTATAATTTCGATATTCTGGGCGCGGTCGGTATTTTGCGAGGCCAAAATAGAAAACAAGAAAAAACAACACGTCAGACATTATTTGAACCACCGTGCGAACCCGGTACGCCCTTCTCTCCAAGCGCGGTTGACGTCGTCCTCGCGCCCACGAGTCCGCCTTCAATTTGTTGGACTGGGGCCACTACCTCAGTTCCACCAACTGCTGGTGGCCGCTTGGATGCCGACCCCCGTAAAACCCGGTCCGCATGGCCATGAGGGGCAAATTTACAATGGTGGGGGTAGTGGCGGTTTAAAGGGGTTGTACACTTTGTTTCGGGGTTCCGATGCAATTTTTCGGGCTTCGTCTCCGGTGAGGTATCGATGGGTGGCTTGCGTCAGGTAATTCTTTTTCTCTTCCAAGTTCCTATTTCTTCTTCCTTACAATTTTTGGATTCACCCTCACAATTTGTGCAGATTTTATATTTTCTGCTTAGGAGGCATAGGATTTCGCAGGCCTTAGCAAGTGTGCGTGGAAACTCTTTTTGAAGTTCTTTTTCAAACTCACGGGTTTCTTGATGGGATATTTTCAATCGAGTCCTTTCTCTTTACTTTTCGGAATTGTCCTGCGGAGCCGTGTGAAATTTTGTTGATGAATAATAGAATAGGAATCGGCATAGGATTTTGCGCGCCCTGGCGAGCAAGTGCGGAATTTCTGTTCGAAATTTTCAATTTCAATCTAGCTGTAGGAATTGGGCACAGTGCACATTTCGTGTAACTGTTTTGGTGGCTTTACATTTTTGGCAAGTGCGTTGCTGCACGCACACTTCTGTATGCAATCTTTCCTTGCGCGCTTTCGACGCTAAGTTGTGACTGTCTTCTTCTCCCTCCTTTTACGCTCACTCCTTCTTGATCCTGTTGAATCTTGACCCCTACTTACACCACCCCTCGTAATTTCTTTTCCCACCTTCGTCTAAACCTCTGAAGGATCTTGTAAATCCACAACCGACCGTAGACATTGGACAGCAGCTTGTAGAGAGACTCTGATTTCCCCACTCTGCGATCCGATTGGCTACGATAGCCCCCATTGGATCAACATGGTCTTCTTGACGTCTATCTGCCCCCTCTTCTCCCTTCCTCATTTCTATTCCACACAATCATCATTCTCCCTTCCCCTTTCTCCACAAGGACCGCAGCTATAAAATTTGGCTTCTTGACGTCTTCTTGACGTCTATCTGCCCCCTATGAATCTCCCCCGGAGGTGGCCATGCGCGGCCAAGGCTGTGGCTGCGTGGCGGCCAGTTGGGGGGGGAAGGGGGAAGGGTTTGAGGGCAGATTGGGGTTGAGCAACCCCAACCCCACCCCCTCAAAGAAAAAAAGATGAATACCGGGAGGGGGTAAGTTGGGAAGAAAAAAAAAAAAAAAAAAAAACC